GAATAAAGGTTAAAACATACAAAAAGTAGGGGACTTTCAAACGAATTGTAGCATAATTAGAGTCTAGAATGTTAGATTGAAGTTCTCAGTTCTCAAAGAAAGTTCTCGGAAAGAGTTTATCTAGAATTTCTTCTCTCTAGAATTTCTTCTCTCTAGAATTTCTAGAATTTAAAAACGAATCCACGAATTCAAGAATATTTTATTCTATTATTTACAAGTTGACTCGAAGAAATTACTCGAGAAATGAGACGAAAAAATCCTTGAAATCCTTTAATCCTTTAACTTACTTTGTAGCTTCTCTTGCCATCGCATTTCCTCATACAATTCTTCCCATTGCTCGAAGAAATCGGTTACTTTTTGAGCCCTGGAAATAGCGTTTTGAGCGTCTTTCTTTTCGATAAAGATTCTTGAGTTCTATTAGGTTGGAAAGAAAGAAAGTTCTCAGAAAGAGTTTGTCTAGAGTTTCTTAAAAACGAATCCACGAATTGGAGAAGATTTTCTTCTATTATTTAGAAGTTAGAAGCTTACGTAGTATGAAAGGCTTGGTTTTTGAGAAATTCTAGACAAAATTTTTCCGAGAACTTTCTTGCCAACCTAATAGAAAGAATGACAGAAAGCACAGCAGAATTTGATTGACAAGCAAGCCTTTCTGTGTCTTATAATCAGTCATTTGTTCTTACAGTAACAAAATAAAACGGATTAGATCTGTCTTTCTTCTCTTTCTTCCTTTCTTTCTCTTCCTTCTCTTCCTTCATTTCTTTCCTTCTTTTTCTTCCTTTCTTTCTCTTCATTGTCTTCCTTCATTTCGTCCTCTTTCTTCCTTTCTTTCTCTTCCTTGTCTTTCTTATTTCTTCTCGACTAAAGAAGGCGCTGATGGCTCAGTAGTAGAGCATCAGCATCAATAAGCAAAAGGTCTAGTGTTCAATCTCCCACATTTTTCCCCATTCAAATCTTTTCAGGAAGATGAGGTAAACGCACTTCCATCCGAGAATCGATATCGAGCAGAATACGATCGAGATGATAAACAATTGAGTGAATGGAAAGGTGAGAGGAGGGAAAAGTTCAGAGTAAAGGGGAATGGCTAACATTAAAACTAGATAATTGTAAGGTTAAAGTAGTTCAGAATTGACACATTTTGATAGAGAGAGGAACACAAAGAAGACTTTCATTCCGTATTTACAATTACAAAAGTTCATTGAGTACTTTGTTCTCAAAAAAAAGTGCATAGTTTATGTACTTTTTGTGTACTTTTTTGCTTAAATCTTCAAACAATAAAATAAAAAAAAAGCGAGTGAAATTTCAAAAGGTTTAAAACTTTAAAAAGAGTAAAGGGAAATGGAATTATATCTAGATTATTTAATAAAATTGTAAGATTACAGTAGTTGAGAGAGTTGATATTGATAAAAGCACAAGAATACTTAATCTATTGGGTTGGTGAATTGAAAACTGGCGGACTTTGAACTAAAATTTATTCAACGTAGAACCATGAATTCATTCCAAATAATTTCCATTATTATTGACGACTTGTGCCCATTTTACAGGCAATTTGCAGATTCCTCTTTCGTGGTAGGATTTTGGTTTGTGGGTGAGACAAGTGTGAGACTCAAAAATGGAGGACTGGAGATGTCCTAGTTTGAGCACTTTCTTCAAAAGAAACCCATTTTAGTGTCAATAGAAAAGTTGTAGAGAATCAAAAATGAGGCTTATAGCCAAATTTCCAAAAAGATACACTTAGTAGTTTCGATAAAAATGTAAAGTTTTGTGAAAATTCGTAAATTTTGGCATCTCTTAAAAGCCAGTTTTTGAATCGTTCTGAAAATTTGGATATAAGCTTGATTTTTGATTCTCTACAACTTTCCCATTGACACCAAAATGGGTTTCTTTTGAAGAAAGCGCTTAAACCGGGAGATATGACAATAGCCGGCGGTTTTCAATTCACCAACCCAATAGATTGAGATTAGCCTTGATTTGTGGAGAAGTCAATGTTCAATTCGAGGATTCGGAGCCCGCCAGATTAGTTTGGAAAAGGGAGAGGGAAGGGGGTTATGTAAAAGCCCTGCGCCAGACGACCAGCGATTACGCGGTCGCACATAGAACACATAGAACACACAAATTTTTAAGCGAAACTATTTACTATTTACTAAGCGAAATACTAAGTGTATCTTTTTGGAAATTTGGATATAAGCTTGATTTTTGATTCTCTACAACTTTCCCATTGACACCAAAATGGGTTTCATTTGAAGAAAGTGCTCAAACTGTCACATATGCCACAATAGCCGGCAGTTTTCAATTCACCAAACCCAATAGAATTGCCATAGCTTTGTACTTTGTGCAATGTTCAAATATCTACTGAATCCCAATCAAATTTCATCAGCTTTAGCACGTTAAAAAGGGAAATGTTTCAGCTCTAATCTTCAACGAAGTGATGCAATATCAGAATACGCACGATATTTTTCAAGGAACTGGTTGAAACAAAAAGGAAAAAAAAGGCCTCTTTTACCCAACTTTAGCTTCATTTTTACGATAAATCTATAAAATTTCTATTTAAGAACTCAATTTTTGCGTACAATCTTTCATTTTTTAAAGTATTTTATATAAAAAAAGCCTTTTAATCAGTTAAAACAAAGCCCTCGATAGTGCCTCAAAAAGGAAAATCTTTTATTTTGTATTTTCTCTGAAAAAGACTGGTCTTTTTTTGTGAATTTCTTGTAAATATCAATAAAAGTACTGTAGTTTTCATAATATTTAAAAAAATTTTAGTCTTTTTTATAGAAAACTTTTTGATTTTCTCTGTGATTTCGTTGTTGACGCGTGTAAAAAAAAAAGAAACGATTTTTTGAGTGTTTAAAGGAGTTTTTTTCAATAAAGATTATGATAAATATTATCAAAAGCTTATCACAAAAGATTTTCGTTTCAAGAAAATTGAGAACCGACCGGAATGGAATCGAATGGATCTATCAATTGGACTACCGATGTGCCCAGCCTCATAGTGATGGCGGCTTTACGCTGACAGTGAATGCTGTTGAATGTTGAATATTATATTCAACTCGATACGACCGATCTGATGCAGTTCCTATCGCAGCAGACGAATTCAGGACAGATAGATACAGCAAAACTGTGGGAGTATATTGACACTATTGGCAAACACTCGCAAGGATTAGTTACATGGGAATGCTTGGAAAAGATGAAAGTTCGCTCGATACGTTACCTAGCCCCTCTTTATAAGTCTTTCCTAAAAATTTTTGATAATCTTCTCGTGAAGGGGCCGCCGAACTGGCATCCGAAGGCAGAGTTCTGTTTGTGTTATTGTGGATTTTTGGAAGACGAAGAAAAGAGTTTCCACGCATTCTCGCAGATGATTGGATGGGAAGAGGGATTCAGGTAGGCACAGTTTTCAATTTTCAGCTACGGGCTCTGGTTGGGTGTATACTTTGCGCTCAGAGACTCAAAATTGTGACCAATCAAAGATATTTGATCACTATCTTCTAAGAAATCAGCAAACCAGATCCCTCTTGTTTACGTGTAAATTTGCAAGTCGAGTTTTTGACTCGAAAGATTTCAAATAAGAATTTTATTTCTTTCAGAGAATCTCAACAAAAGGAGCTTCGAACCCGTTATTCAGTGAGAGCCGACCGGAATGGAATCGAATGGATCTATCAATTGGACTACCGATGTACTCAGCATCATAGTTATGGCGACTTTACGCTGACAGTGACCAAAAGCGCTGTTGAATGTTGAATATTACAAGTTGTTATCTTTACTGTTGTCTAATCTTTGTTTTCAAAACTTTGCTTTCGATTTTCTCTGTGATTTCTCTGTTGACGCGTGTAAAATGAAAAAGAAACAATTTTTGAGTGTTTAAAGGAGTTTTTTCAATAAAGATTATGCTAAATATAATCAAATGCTTATCATAAAATATATTTGTTTTAAGAAAATTAAAGAATGCTTTAGAAAAAGCCAAAAAAACGGTGTTTATAGCAAGGTTCTTTCGTTCTTTCGCCTTTACCAATTTTTGACGTAAAAATGATCCGATTGAGTGACAATAATGATTAGGTTTATTCAACAAGATGCTGCTCTATCTCAAAAGGCTCTTGATACAAAAGATTTGATCTTCAACAACTCCCTAGCTTGCATCAAATCCGTCAACAACGCCCAGGCGAATGGCCATCAAACTTGCCCGCTCTCAATCCCATAGATTACTCAATATGGTCGATTCTTGAAAGCAATCTTCTTATGCTAAAGCCAACAAATAAATTGACTTCTTGAGACAAGATTTAATCAATGCATGGAACGAAATCTCTATCAGCACTATTGAAAAAGTCATTGATGATTTGCCAAAGCGCTTATGGTGGTCATTTTGAATGACAATAATGATTGGGTTTATTCAACAAGACGCTGATGGTTTCAACAAGATCTCACAAGACTTTTGATAGAAGATTTGATCTCCAACAACTCCCTAGCTTGCATCAAATCAGTCAACAACGCCCAGGAGAATGGCCATCAAACTTGCCCGCTCTCAATCCCATAGATTACTCAATATGGTCGATTCTTGAAAGCAATCTGATGATTTCAACAAGATCTCACAAGACTTATATCATCAAAATCTTATCACAAAATATTTTCGTTTCAAGAAAATTCAAGAATTCTTAAGAAAAAGATATAAAAATCTTTATAACAAATTACTGTGCCTTCTTTTGTCTTTACCAACTTTAAACTTTATTTTTATTAAACTTATGATAGCCAAATGACATGAGCCATATACTATTTGACGCAGAATTTTGTGCTCTTTCTGAATCTGCTTTCCGTTTTTGCTAAATAGCACTCTGTCAAAAGTTATAAGCGCTCAAGCATTTTTCGAGGCTTTTCACGTAAAAATGAGTCGGATTCGTTAAAGAATGGCTGACAAACGGCCAAAATTGTTTCACCTTTGTGCTGACTTGATCGCCAGCCGTTTTGCACACAAGAACGGTCAAAATATGATAGAAATGATGAGGATTTCAATAAAATAATGTTCTAAAAGCCGGTCTTCTTTGATTATTTGTGCGTGGAGGGGAAAGTCCATTGATTAGCGTCAATTTTGGAGTGATTTTCTTGCTAGTGCCTGGAAAAGTCCCCATTTGTTCTCAAAAAAAGCTAAAAATCTCACTTTCCAAATCAACTCTTCCAAAAGTGATCTTTTTTAGAGCAAAATATCGATAGGATTTCGTGGATAGAACGATGAAAATCGAGGAGACAATGTTGTGGAGGGCGAAAGTGATCGTCGAGATTGTCCCTAGAATTTTTCAAGATTACGGTAGGCTCAGAAGTACTGTAGCTTTAAGAGTACATAAATGTTCAAGAGTACGATAGCTTTAAAGCTTTAACGATAGCTTTAACGATAGCTTTAAAGCTTAGGTATACTGTAGGAAGTGGTGGAGTTTGTAGGCAAAAGAAATTGTAAATATACCCTTTCTATTGCACTTAAATCTTAGTTCTTCTGTAAACACTATCGAGAAGAGTACGGTTATCGCTTTATGAATACGGTAGCTTTTAAGGAGTACGGTAGCTTTATGGTTGGGAATACTGTAGCTTTAAGAGTACGTAACTGTTCTGTACTTTAAGAGTACGTAACTGTTCTGTACTTTAAGAGTACGTAACTGTCCTGTACTTTAAGAGTACGTAACTGTTCTGTACTTTAAGAGTACGTAACTGTTCTGTACTTTAAGAGTACGTAACAGTACAGTAGTTTACGGCTTAATTACTGTAGCTTTAAGTGTACGTAAATTTTCAGGAGTACGGTAACTGTGTGAGCAAACGTTTCACCAAAGAAATGCTGGGCTACAGTAGCGCAAAGTTCGCCTAACAGTCGCCGTACTCTCATAAACGAACTCCTTCTGGCAAATTGACTAGAGAAATGATCATTTGCTTTTGCTAGAGCACAAAGTACATGGTAGGTAAAATGTGTACTTTGTGCTCAAAGGGTAAACCTTGTCTGCTGCATTGAGCTCTATTTTCTCCTATTGCGAGAAATCTAAAGAAATGAGTGAACTAGAAAGCTGCGTTTGCGAGAGTAGGAATACTGTAGCTCTAAGAACACGTAGCTGTAGAGCTAGCTAACTACAGAACTATTGGTATCTTTACGGCTAGGAATACGATAGTTTTAAGAGCACGTAACTGTTCGGAAGTACGGTAGTTTACGGCTAGGAATACTGTAGCTTTAAGAGTACATAACTGTTCAGAAGTACAGTAGTTTACGGCTTAAACACTCTAGCTTTTAGAGTACGTAAGTACTTCTTAAAGTAGTTCAGGAGTATTTTCCCGTCGCTACTTTCCGGTATTGCGAGAAATCTAAAGAAATGAGTGCACTAGAAAGCTGCGTTTACGAGAGTAGGAATACTGTAGCTCTAAGAACACGTAGCTGTAAAGCTATTGGTAGCTTTATGGCTAGGAATAGCGTTACGAGAGTACAAAGTACAAGTTTCTATCACAAATCTCACAAGCTTCATTGTAGTTGTTATCATGAAATTTGATGATCAACGTTAGCATTGGTAAAATGATTAAAACGAGAAAGACCAAGGCCTGAAAGTGTATAATATAGTTGGAAAATAAAGCAATCAAATTTCCACCTGTAATCCCATTGAAATGAGTAGAGTATGCGACAAATCGCGTACTTTTTTCGTCATTGTTTTTCGGGTTTTAAGCGAGAAATGACTGTGAACGATCAAGAAAAGAAGAACGATGAAACCGCAAATTAAACCGCATCTAAAATAGGTGTATTTGTTTTGTTTGTTATTTGTTATTTGTTTTTTTCTTCTTCTTCTCTCAAATCCAATAGCCTAAACTCTGCTCTTTTCCGCACCGTAATCTTGTCTTTATTTTTAACAAATCTTTCGACTTTTGATCTAATTTTATATAGCTTCATAAAGAAATATCGAAAAAGAAACTTTCATTAGCTTATAAATCGATGATTTTTCTTTAATTTACACCATTTATACACAAAGGTGATGGTTTTTTTAAAAATAGATTTTTCTTACTACAAGGTATCTCAAAAATTGCGTTTACGAGAGTACAAAGTACAAGTTTCTATCACAAATCTCACAAGCTTCATTGTACCGTACTGGACAATGAAATATCAAACGATTGTCCCTCTTTCGCGCGCGTTAAAATGCGTCAAAAAATACGGTCTTTCTAAATATTAATATTACCATTGTGTAGCCCTTGAAAAGAGCTTTCAGAAAATGTATAACACTAATAGTTTAAACTTAAAGACCAGGAAGTTACAGACGTGTGAACGTGACGATCGTTTTTCAAATATGATATTTCATTGTCCAGTAGTATAGTTTACGGGAGTTTTTCAAATACGATATTTCATTGTCCAGTACTGTAGTTGTTATCATGAATTGAGATCGTGACAAACTTATCAACCTCTATCGATCTTATTTCATCAAAACAAATACCGTATTCTCTCTAATAGTAGTGCACCCAGAGCGTCGCCTAAATTCCTCGAAATCTCGAGAACCGCTTATCAGAACCTATTGATGTGGGGTCGGAAAATGTAGCTGACGATGAGATCTAGTGGGGGATTTGAGTGTTGAGCTTCTCCAATAGCTTGGAAACCGTAAAATCGTCGCCAACTCGGCTCGCCCGGGTGCACTACTATTAGAGAAAATATGGTAGTAATAGAAGCTTTTTTATTTAAAACAACTGTAAAAAGATTAAAACAGGATTTAGAATTTAAAAATGGTTTAACAATGGCCAACAATGACCAACAATGGCAACAGTAACCAACAACGGCCAACAATGGCTAACAATGGTCAACAATGGTCAACAATGGCCAACAATGGTCAACAAACAAAAATGACCACCATTAGCATTAATACATTTTCTAAGCCCTTTGGGAATGTCATCAATGACTTTTTCAATAGTTCTGATAGAGATTTTGTTCCATACTTTGATGAAATCTCTCTTCATGGAGTTGTTTAGCTCTTTAGCATATGCATTGCTTTCAAGAATCGACCATATTGAGTAATCTGAGATTGAGATCGGGTGAGTTTTATGACGATTCTCCTGGTTGACTAATGTGATGCGATCTGGGATGTTGTTGGAGATCAAATCTTCTATCAAAAGCCTTTTGAGATCTTCACCTTCATTCTGACCGTCTTGTTAAAAACCCAATTATGGAGAACATGCCTCAACCTAAGCCGAAGCCTAAGCCTAAGCCTAAGCCTAAGCCTAAGCCTAAGCCTGAGCCTAAGCCTAAGCCTAAGCCTAAGCTTGAGCCTAAGCCTTGGCACCAAAGTACGCTTGAGACCAAGCCAAAACTTCTTTTTTAAGGATATTGACGTAAACCTTCTTGTCAGCGAGTTTTTTGACTCCAGCTGGAATGCAGATCAAGTCTTTCCTCTATGAGTGACACTGACCCAACCATGATTTCTTGAGGCTTTTGTTGTCTTGAAACAATTCTGTCGTCTAGCGGAAGAGATTCTTTGCACCAAGTTCAATCGTTCTGATGGTTGTGGACCTGCTGCTCTGCTGCTGCCTGCTTGCCTGCTCAAGATCAAACCACTTTTCATCCGTGAAGAGGATCTTTCCAGTGTCGCTGAAATCCACAGCAGAAAGCAAAAGAATTGGCGGCGAGATGAGTCGAACTCGCGACCTCTCTCTTCCTTTCGTTTGAGAGACAGGCGCGAGACCACTCGACCATACTCAGATGGCGCAGTGCGAGCGCACTTGTCTCTAGCCCACACGTTCCTGGTTCGACTCTCGCGGCCGCACTTTTGATTTTTTAAAAATTTCAAAACATGTTGCCCAACTAGATGAAATTCTAAGCCAAAAAAAAAACTATAAATGATTTGAAATGGTCCTCTGGGGGCTGAGGAGTAGCGCGCACAGATAGACAGGGTTTATATACAGGGTGATGCACAATTACCCGCACTCATTTCAAATTCACGTTTTGAACTTTGATTTCGAGTCGAAATTCATTGTTTTCTAGTAAAAATGAGCTGAATTTAGGAAATAATGAGTAAAAAGAAGCCGGTTTTCTTTGATTTTGAGGCATTGAAACTAGTTTAAAAAAGCTAGAAAATCGCTGGAAACGCGTTTCGCAACTTTGCAGCGCTCTAGCAAAAATTGAGAAACTTTTTTTGATCAAATCCAGAGAAAACATTGCAGGAGAGTTATTCAATTTGATAATAAAAAACGAATTTGATCGATCGATTGACTCTTCGCTAAGCTGGAGAATCTGAAATGAGTGCGGGTAATTGTGCGCCACTCTGTATAGTAGATAAGTTGAATATCGTAAAATTTCGTATAAGAATCCTCTTTTTGAAAATCAAATGGATAGATTGGATAAAAGTAGAGAAAAGATTACAATAGAAATGGGGCACGATTTAGGAAATGAATTGTTTCAAAAACTTACACCAATACGATTCCCCATAATTGAGTTTTTCCACCAATGCACAGCGAGTGGCGTCGAACGATGGCTTCGAGAAGCTCCGACGGGTAGATTTTGATCTCAGACTGGAAAATCGAGTTAGATGTTCTAAAGATAAAGACTAACTAAATCTTGTAGAGTAATTTTGGACACTATATAGCAGGAAAATCCAGCCGTACCAATGTAGAGTGCAAGAAAAAGGAGTCTTTGTTGATAAATGGGAAAGTGGAAAGAAGAATGCGGATCGATCGAGATCTGGAAATGAATGCTATAGTATTAAAGCTTTATCGTAACCCGTAACCCATAGTTAATAGATGTTACAGTAATGTAGTAGTTTCTAGTAGTTTAGAGTTGGCTACTGTAGTCTGTAGCCTATTTCTACAGTGCGTTTCAAAAGTTTAGACGATAGCGCAAAATGGGCTGCAAATGCAACTAAATATTTTGTTATCTACATTAATGTAAAAAACCGAAAAACTTTTAGCTCACTGGCTTTGATAAAAATAAGAAAATATCGATTTTTTCGAAAACCGAGTGTTCCAAAAGTTTAGACGGATTTATTGTAACAGAAAAAACAGTAAAAAAAACTTAACAAAAGTGCTTTAACGGGTCTTAAAAATCGATAAAATTGCCTTGAATTAACTGAAAGATTCTTTTCGGCATACTTTAGATAAGCGATTGAATCAGCGAAAGAATTTCCCCTCCATTCTCTAATGATTGCCGCTTTCAAAGAATCGATCGTTGTGTATTGTTGTATATCGTTGTCCATTTTTGTAAACCTTTCGTACAAGATATCCCCAAATGTTCTCGGTGGGACAGTCAGGAGAACATGTGATCCACGGTAACACGGGGACATTTTGTTGTTGAAGGTAGCTGTTGTTGAAGGTAGCTGTTGTTGAAGGGAGCTGTTGTTGGGTGCTGTTTTGAGGTAGCTGTTGTTGGGGCTGTTGTTGGGGCTGTTGTTGGGTGCTGTTGTTGAAGGTAGCTGTTGTTGAAGGTAGCTGTTGTTGAAGGTAGCTGTTGTTGAAGATAGCTGTTGTTGAAGGTAGCTGGTGGTCGAAGCACTTCGATGAATGGAAGCCAAGCAAAAAAAGAATTTCCTTGATTTTGTGTTAGAAATGGAATCAGAGATTGGAAGAAAACTTGTTGATACTCGGTACTATCCATTCTCATTGAGGTGAAGCAAAACTCAAAGGTCCCATCTGCACAAAAAGCTCCCCAGCACATCAATGATCCTCCGCGAAAATTGCGCTTTGAAAAATACTTTGGTTCTTTTCGTAAATCTCTCCAGTAATGCAGATAACCGTCTGGTCCGTCAAGGCCTTGACGTCAAGACCATCTTCTCATCGCTGAAGATGATCTAAAGTTTCATTTTGTTTAGCTAATCAGCGTTATAAATCTCACTTTTGTCCAATCTCGATTCATTTCACGTTGAGCGAAGTCTAAACGTGCTGTTTTGTGAATATCCTTTAATTTTGGAGCTGGTACCATCTTCATTCTTTGCAGCTTAGGATTTTCTTCCAAATTTCGCAGAATCGTTTGTTTTGAAACTTTGAGCCCACATTCAGCGGCTAACTCCTTAGCTGTCTTTGGCGAATTCAGCATTTGACAAACGTCGTCGATCTCTTTCAGATAACTTGGTGGGTCCTTTTCTTATTGGCACGTTTGTTGTTCATCCTTGCAAATGCTTTTTGAACTCCTGGCTCAGAACGATTAAGTTTCTCCGCAAATTTGTTGAAGGTCCAGCCGGCGTTACGGTAAGCCTCAATCTGTGAAATCTCGAGAGCGGAAATGTTTCCCTTCTTGCCCATTTCCTGTAAAATAAATCATTACGCAAAAGTTCAGTATAGAAAAAGAAGCAAAAATATTGAAAAAAATGAATTTTTACAGATAAAATTCCAAAACGTTCAAACTTTTGGAATTCGCGGTTTTCGATAAAGTCGATATTTTCTTATTTTCATCAAAGCCAGCCAGTGAGCTAAAAATTTCAGTTTTTTCAGTTTTTTTACATTAATATAGATCAAAATAACAAAAAATTTAGTTGCATTTTTTACGAAAACACCCATTTTGCGCTACCGCCTAAATTTTTGAAACGCACTGTAGAAATAGGCTACACAGGCTACAGTAGCCAACTCTAAACTTCTCGAAACTACTAGATTACTGTAACAGCTAGTAACTATGGGTTACGGGTATCGTAATTTGTAAAAGGAATGTAAGGATTGCTGGAAAATCAGTATTCAAAACCTGATGTCGATAGAAAATTGTGTGCGCATAACCGGCTACATTTGTGGCACTCGCGAAAAAGTTTGCTAACTGAAAAGATTGGTGTTGATTGATTGGTTGTAATAAGGGAAAAGACAAGCTGACTGAGACTGAGACTGAGACCAGACCAACTCCATCTGATAAAGTAAACCATGGGGATCTTGAACCCGTTTTTAGCTTCGCTAAGTAGCTTAGACTAGCTTAGCTTAGTTTTTAGCTTTTCCTTGAATTTTGAGCTCTTTCTCAGGTCGTCACACAATCCCCAACAACTACTTCGGTGGACTAGTGGATAGTCTGCTAGACTACCGAACTCGTCACCTATTTGTCCCCTCGAGTTCGAGTCCCACTCTCGTCAAACTCTTTTACTTTTATCAAAAACCCTTTCTCTTTGTATTTGCAATAAAGAATAGAGTTGAATTTTATGCACTGTAGCTTTTAGAAATAAAAACTACAATATTTTTTTGTAACTTTTAGAAATATGGCAACAAATATGGCAACAATACTTCTCTACTTATTCTGATACTTTTGAGAGTCCAGATTTTGTAAATTATTTCCTCAATTTACAGAAAACTTTGTATAAAACTCGAGTCAATAATTCGTAAGGTTTTTTTAGAAAAACAAAAAGGTTTGGCGAGAGTGGGACTCGAACTTGTAGACAAGAAAGCAACAGTTTCCATAGTCTAGCAGACTATCCACCAGACCATCGACAAACTTGTTCGGAAAGCGTTTGACGGCTTCTTGAAGAGTCCAAAATTTAGATATCTTGCGTTCTGCAAAAACTAAAAACGGATTCAAGATGTATAAGGACTTGGTTTCAAGCCTTGGTCAGCTTGACGCCCTTCCCTTGTATTTTCCTTGTATCCATTACCAAAGCCAATCGAAGAGACAATGTGAGATCATTGACCGAGAACCAACTCTCAATCATTTGTGAAAGAAAAATGATTGGACTTGTGGACGAAAAGCAAATGATCGGATCAGCATCAGTTGCCGCACAGATAGCTGGGGCAAGGATCCCGAAAACTAGCACCAAAAATAGGGAGGAAATCTGTAAGAGTTTCAAGAATGACTCAGCGACTGTCTAGGATTCGTATTATTACAGTACCCAAGTAGTTACTGACAGTATTGGCTGACAGTACTCAAGTAGTTACTGTCTGTACTGTCTGGCATTACTCAAGCAGTTACTCTCATAAGGATTCAGTAGCCGTCGATGTAACCCAAGTATTGTTTAGTGTAGTAATTTTAAAGCATGACCCGGCTATCATAACTCTAAACTCAATGATTAGATTTTACAGTACCCTACCGTAAAGTTTAATGTAGTCAAGAAAGGTCTGAACCGGGGATGGTAAACATACTTTAGATTAACTTGGGTAATTAAACCGGAACTCTTTTAGAAATGATTCTCATCAAAAATCGATCAAAACCATCAAAATTCCTGTTCCAACCTCGATTCCGATCAAATATTTCCTGTATTGATATGATTTTTTTTGAGTAGCTTTATAGATTGTATAGATAGTGAAAATTGTAGTTACAATTGAAATCACTAAGATAAAATTGAAAATAATCGATGAAAGAGTGAGGAAATCTTCAACAAACATGCGATTTTTGGAAATGATATGCTGATAAAAGTTATTTTATTTCAAGGGTAGGAACAGGTGAAAATTTGTGGCTTCATTAGAATAATAGAATGGAAATTGAAAAGAAGAAGTTGAGTTGATAAAAAGAACACCAAAAGATAAGAACAGGTGAAAATTTATGACTTAATTAAAAGCAAAATGCAAACCGAAAAGAATATTAAGTCCGGATAAAGAAAAAGAAAATGTATAAACAATTTCCTTTTCTTTCTTTGAACTTAAATAACTGAATTAGGTCCGATGAACATGGCATTATCAACAATGAAAACAATGACATTTCCAGCTTCCCAAGATCCTAAAAGTCGAAGCACACGACACGCGAAAACCCGTCGTTCACATCGTTTACACAATCGAAAAGCTTCTCGTCAAGAAGACACTTAGACACTAGCTTAACTCTAAATTCTTTGACACTTTCCTCAACCATATCTTTTGCAATTTCACTTTCCAATAAACTCCTTTATTTTTCACGTTTTATTCAAGCTCTTGAAGTTAAGACAAAAGCACAAAAATCATTCAAATACTTAAATAGATCAATTCCCGAATCTCATTCTTCATTTATTGTTCCTTTTCATCACCTTGTCCATTCCCATTTCTTCTCCTTTTCGTTGTTGTTGTCAATCGACGAGCTCTCGTTGTTGTTGTCGGTTTTGTCGGTTTTCGAGTTGTCGTTGTTGTCTTTTTTGTGTGGTGATGGTGATGTCTTTTGGTCGTTTTTGGTTTCTGAGTTGTTGAGGGAATTTTCGTTGTTGAAGCCTCAGTTGGAATTGGTTTGTCGGTTGGATTTTGAGGAGGAAAAGGAGTTGAGGGATCGCTTGATGGAGATTGAGAAGGGAGCACTGTAGTTGAGGGATCTTCGGGCAGATTTGTGGGGATTACGGTAGTCGATCCATCGAGCGGCACTGCAGTGGGATTCTCAGTGACTACAGTGGTCTTCCCATCAGTTACAATAACCGTTGTTTTCTCACTCGGCACTCCAGTTGACGGTCCATCCGTATGCGTTCGATTTGTTGGTGGTTGAGTGGGAGCCTCACTTGTCGATTCTTCTGTTGGTTCTTGGGTAATCGGTGCATCGCTTGGTTCAGTCGAAGGCTCATCTGATGGTTGATGAGTTGTGGTTTCTGATGGAGAAACTGTTGTTGGATCTTGAGTGATTGGTTGCTCAGACGGAGCTCCAGTAGTCGTCTCTGTCGGTGTCGGTTCATCAGTCACAGGTCCTTCCGATGGAACTCCAGTCGATGGTCCACCAGTCACTGGCTCTTCGCTTGGCCCATTGGTCATTGGTTCATCAGAAGGAACCCCAGTGGTTTGTTCGGTTGGTGACGTTGTTGATGGTTCATTTGATGGTTGATGAGTGGATGGCTCTCCGGTCGGACTGTCTGTTACTGGTCGATCAGTTGGGAGACCAGTTGAGGGTTTGTTTGTGGGCTCATCAGTAACCGGTCGATCTGATGGAGCAGCGGTTGATGGTTCTCCAGTTGGTTCATTTGTGGGTTCCTCGGGTTGTTCTGTGCTTGGTTCTCCAGAAGGAACATTGGTTGGTTCTGTTCTAGATGATTGGGTTGATGGTTCTCCTGTGGATGGCTGATCCGTTGTAGCTCCAGTCGACGGCTGAGATGATGGCACTGCAGTAGATGGTTCATTGCTGGGTCCCTCGGTCGGTTGATCAGTTGGAGCGTTTGTGGGTACACCAGTTGATGGTTGATCACTTGGTGCTTGAGTTGGAGTATCGGTGGGCTGTTCAGTGGGTGGATCAGTTGGAGCTCCAGTGGACGGGCCATTTATCGGTTTATCAGTGACCGGTTCATCAGATGGAACTGCGGTCGATGGCTCTCCAGTCACAGGCTGATCAGTGGGCCCATCAGTTGGAGCATTTGTCGATGGTTGACCGGTTGGACCGTCAGTGACAGGCTCATCTGAAGGTTTGGCAGTAGATGGCTCTCCAGTGATTGGTTCATCAGTAGGGGCATTTGTGGGTTGTTCAGTATGGGATTCGGTAGTTGGCTGATCAGTAGGTCCACCAGTTGGAGCAGCAGTTGATGGTTCTCCAGTTGGTTGTTCGGTGGGAGCTTCAGTTGTTGGCTCATCTGTTGGTGAATGAGTGAGCGGTCCATCTGATGGAATAGCAGTTGATGGTTCTCCAGATGGAAGATTGGTTGGTTGTTGAGTTGTTTGTTGTGTTGATGGTTCATCAGTTGGTTGATCAGTTGGAGAAGGAGTTGTCACCGGATTCATTGTTGTGGTTGTTGGCGCCGAAGTTGTGGTCGTTCTCGGCACACAAACAGCATTGTTCCGGGCAACGGAAACAATCTAAAATCGACTCATTTCTTCAAAGAATTTGATTGTCCAATTCCCGACTCAAATCCGATCTTCCCAACTCACCGTTCTCACGGGAATCGTTTGTGAAAACAGAATGTAGTCAATCGTTTTCTGTTTTTGTGTCGATGTCTGATCGGGATCCGACTCTGCTTTCTGAATCAAAAGCAGCGCTTCGTGAGCCTAAATATCAAAACTATCAATCAAAATCAAATCAAAAAATACTTCAAAATATCAAAGCTCTAATCTCTTTCCAAACCTTTTCAACGATATTTTCCTGTCCATCGAATTTCTCCAGAATTTTCTCATCAACAGCTTTCAAGTAGTCGTCGAGAGCAGTCTGGAATGGAGATTTCAATGAAATGATCATATTTAGAAGAGCTAATCAATAGTTCTTTATCCATATTCAATCGAAACTCTTACCTGAATCTTCTCTCCAAACGGTTTTGCCCAATCTCTCATTTGTTCTTCTTTTTGTCGATCAGTCAATTGGTTGTTTGATTGAATTTTCAGGAAAGAAAGCCTTGCAAAAAGGGGGACATTGTTGAGAAAAGTTGGATTCGGAAGGGAACAGGAATTGTCGAAGAATGGAGAGATCGCTGGGGATTGGGACTGAAAATGGGATTTCGATTGGAGATTATTGGAGAATTGGATAAGGATACTGTAGCTTGAGAAAAAGACAAACCTCAACGAAATTCCCAATGGCCAAAACCCCAATTAAAGTCCAAATCGAAACACTTCTCATCGTTCAGAGCAGGAGATCAATGGGCTTACTGTAGATAAATAGGATTACTGCAGAGAGAACTGTTGAAAGAAGGAGTACTGTATTTGAGATGCTCCTTCCAATCTGTTCCTTCGAATTTCCATTTAACTCCTTTAAATACCATTCTCAAACTATCTCATAAATGATCGGTAATAGCCAATGAAACAAATTTGACGCAATCATTTCCTTTTTTCCCTTTTGAAGCCATTTCCCCTCCCCCACAAATTCTTCCTTATCTCCAGTCTTTTCTTTTCTTTTTTCATGGCCAAATGGGCGGAATTTTATGTTGTTTTTTTGGGAGTTGTCCATTCCGAAGATGACCTCAACAATGGCATTGCACATTCAACTAAACGGCGATCGGCGACTCGTTTCAACAATTTTAACCCACAGTTATTGGAACTTTTTATCAGCTTTCAATTGAACAAAATCGATATGTCCCTTTAGAAGAATTAGTCCAACTATAATTAGACCTAGCACATTGAGTTTAGCACGTTGAGCTGAACAGCTCAATGTGCTATACAACCCGATGCCATTGTTATAGCCGGCTAGAACATGCTCACGGTTATTGTGGTGTCTTCATCCGTGAAATCCGCGACTACACTTCTACTCTTGCAACTCTTACTCCAGCTATGTGTAACATAAAGTAACTGGAATAAGGCTGATAATTTAGAGCAAAAACTACTTTAAACTAGCTTCACGATAGGAATTTTCAGACGAAAAATAGCAATTATTGTGCTAGACTCGTTTAAAAACGGAAAGAGACGAGAAATTTCTAATTTCGATGTTGCAAAGTATCTATTTGGAAATTTTTAATCCTTTTTTCATAGCTATAGTTATGATAGTTCTCGTAATCAATTTCTGGGACAACAATTTGAGTAAAGCGCTAGTAATCTTAGCAAACATTTGGTCTATAAACTGAATTCCTAGAGGCTGCCGCTCGTGATCTTCTCGCGCACTTGTTGACAATTGGTCCGAGTGATCGGTACTCTGTCCAAACCGCGCTCAATCATTCATATGTGAAATTGTAGTTTAAGGTTTGGATAAAGTTAAAACATACAAAAAGTAGGGTACTTTCAAATGAATTGTTGCACAATTAGATTAGAGTCAAAGGAGTGCAAAATAGAAAGAAATTGAGGTACGACAGCAGAAATTGATCGACGAACAAGGCTTACTGTGTCTTATAATCTGTCTTACAGAACAGCCAACATAACGAGATACACATTTGAACTGAATATCGAAAATACTCAATTTTCCCTGCTCCTCCGAAAGGAGCTTGACATGAACTTCAATTTTGGTTATGCCAGTTCAGCCAACACATTTAAGTGTGATTCTTAATGTTATTAAGTGATGTTAAACGCTATTTTTGCATCGAAGAAATATTGAAAAGCTTTTCTGAACAATTTTTAATGGAGCGGCCAAATGAGAGATTCGCCGGAGAGATGTCCTCTGCGCTCATTTAAATGAATGAGTTGTAAATGAGTTGTATCAGTCCAATCGGGAAGTTTTTGGTTGATAAATGTTGCCAAGAATTAGAACTACAATTTTCTATATAACATTTGGAACGTGAGCTTTTGATTTTTTTGAACAAATGGGGACTTTTCCAGGCAGTAACAAGAAAATCAGTCCGAAATTGGCACTAATCAATGGGCTTTCCCCTTCACGCACAAATAATCAATCGACTTTTAGAACTCTATTTTATTAAAATCTCATCATTTTTACCGTTCTTGTGTGCAAAACGGCTAACGATCAAGCCAGCGCAAAGGTGAAACAATTTTGGGCGTTTGTCAGCCATTCTTTAACGAATTCGGCTCATTTCTACGTCAAAAGATGCGCCTTGAAAAATTCTATCGAATAAGTATTTTGTTTATGTGGCAAAAATTGTTTTAATTTATAAAAACAAGCTTAAATTTGGTAAAGGCGAAAGAACGGAAGAACTTTGCTCCAAACACCGTTTTTTCACCCTTTTCTCAAGAATTCTTTAATTTTCTTAGAACAAAATATATTTTATGATAAGCTTTTGATTATATTTATCATAATCTTTATTGAAAAAACTCCTTTAAACACTCAAAACATAGTTTCTTTTCTTTTACACGCGTCAACAAAGAAATAATAGAGAAAATCGAAAACAAAGATTAGACAACAGTAAAGATAACAACTTGTAATATTCAACATTCAACAGCGCTTTTGGTTACTGTCAGCGTAAAGCCGCCAGAACTATGAGGCTGAGTACATCGGTAGTCCAATTGATAGATCCATTCGATTCCATTCCGGTCGGCTCTCACTGAATAACGGGTTCGATAGTCTTTTTGTTGAGATTCTCTGAAAGAAATAAAATTCTTATTTGAAATCTTTTGAGTCAAAAACTGGACTTGCAAATTTACACGTAAACAAAAGGGATCTGGTTTGCTGATTTCTTAGAAGATAGTGATCAAATATCTTTGATTGGTCACAATTTTGGGTCTCTGAGCGCAAAGTATACACCCAACCGCAGCCCGTAGCTGAAAATTGAAAACTGTGCCTACCTGAATCCCTCTTCCCATCCAATCATCTGCGAGAATGCGTGGAAACTCTTTTCTTCGTCTTCCAAAAATCCACAATAACACAAACAGAACTCTGCCTTCGGATGCCAATTCGGCGGCCCCTTCACGAGAAGATTATCAAAAACTTTTAGGAAAGACTTATAAAGAGGGGCTATGTAACGTATCGAGCGAACTTTCATTTTTTCCAAGCATTCCCATGTAACTAACCCTTGCGGGTTTTCGCCAATAGTGTCATAAGTGTCCCACAGTTTTGCTGTATCTATCTGTCCTGAATTCGTTTGCTGCGATAGGAACTGCATCAGATCGCCTCCACCCCTCTTCATATTGAGCGTATATTCAGCAACTGCTGGAAGGAGAGGAGTTGGGATAAGGATAAATGAAGATACGGATAAGCATCGGACTGCTCGAACTCTCGGCCAAAAGGAGAAAAAGTTAACAACATTGCTAGAAAAGGCATCTACTTCGTTTGGCATATATGACAGGCATTGGATTTCTTGACATCGAAGAATATTCTGGAAGATTCTCGAGTGATGTCTTGTTATTTGCTTTGAGGGTCTTTCAAAGATTGGTTTGTTGATATGAAATGAGTTGATTTGAAAAGCCTTAGAGCCTGCAGAGCCATGTTTTACATCAATAGATAGCCCCGTCTTTCCAGTAGATTTCCAGCTAGATAGACTGAAAATAAGCCCGTGAACATTTTTTCGAAATGGTCCATTACAGAGGACAAATCGTCGGAATTCGCGATTCACTTGCAATAAACTCAATATTTCCTTGATCGGCAGAGAATCGAGGACATCGACTTTCAGCGATGTAATCAGTGAATTGACAGAGAAATTTGGGCCAAGACTCATTCCTCGGGTAAATGTGAAAAGATAAGTGGGTGCTCGGTGAATTCTGCTAGGATACGTTCTCATTATGAGTTGTTTCCCGCCCTGATCTGCTAATTGTCTGCAAAAACGTGTAAAGGGTATCAATACGTAGATTTTGTGTTACACTACCGTAATATCTGTAAGAGAACGCTACCCCCTCCAAACATTTCATGTGGTGGACTCTTATCATATTTTTCGCGCTCAAAATTTCGAAAAATCCATGCGTGGGACCCTTCCCTTTTTTCGACGTTTTTTTACCAGCCTTAGCCAAAAGAATTTTGATCAAAAATGAGCCCATTTCCTCCAAAAACACTCCTTTTATGATAGGAGGTAGTTTATAGATTTGTAGTTTTTAAATATATTATTTTGAAAATTATTTATTTGCCCCGGCGGAAATGCATTACAAAAAAAGGTCTTAAACAAAAAAGGGGTCTTAAATACACACAAAAAATAGCGGGCCTAGTACAAGTGAAAAGGAGAGGCGGCGTGGCCTAAAAAATCTTCTTTCTGTCCTCAGTGATGGCGCTGCTTGGTGTCAGGTTGAGCCTTGCTGGTGCCAGGTTGCTCGGCACTCGGGAAATCCTCCTAAAAATTCATCAACCGTAAAGGGTAAACGCTACAAAGACAAACCTTGCAGTCCTTAAGCAATGATTCTTTTAAGTTGTCGAATTCGTATTCGAGAAATGCAACGATAGGCGACGGTTGGTATGCATCGGTGGGTTTGTGTCCCTTGGTTTCGTCATCATCTTAAAATAGAAATTCTTTACAGATACGGAAGTGCTTTCTTCAAAATAAAGCCACAACCTACATGTAATGTGTACACGCAAGTTGTCGTAAGCTTTGGCGGCTGGGACCTTCTCTTGGATACCTTTCCGTATTGCCCTTCTTGCCAATCTATCAGCCTGAAATTAACAAAATCAATCAAATTAAATAGAAATTAAGCTATAAAATTATTTCGGAAATAACATTTCCTAAAGCATTACCTCTCCAAGGCGGGGATCATCGTTCTTAATCCACTGGAACAAGATCCCCTTTTCAAAATAGGTTGCCAGAGTATACAAATTCTGATAACTAAACGTAAAATATAAAGAAATACAAATGGAAAAACAAACTCATCAAAAAAAGTTGACGGTCCTGGTTCTTGACGCTTCTTGTATTGCTTCATCTTCTTCAAACCCTCAATCATACTTTGACAGTCACTTCTTAGAACTATCGGCCAGGCCCTAAATGATCAAAAGATTTTTCTACACACAAAATGGCCGAGGATTATTGTTATTATACAAATGAATAATGCTTACTTGTGCTTTTCACTCTTTCTTTCTTCGCCATTCTCTTCCCAAACTCCGTTCCAGACGAGAAGACGTTGAAGAACTACTGTTGCCGCCCATATTTCAGCGCGAGTGTTGTCGTGTCTTTCCTGAGCCTCGTTGATGTAGTAGCTGATGTCGCGAGACCTAAATTTGAGAAAATTGCTAAAATTTTATCGGCTAATTTAAACAATAGTCAATATTTTATTTCACAAGATAAACTAATATTTTCCGGAACAATCCAAAGCATTTTTTGTTCGGCACTATAGTTATAGCATAAAAACACATACAGCTGAACTGGATGATAGAATCCGATAAATGCTCCAATTCCTGTGATCTTCTTTTTCAAATCCGCGCTAGCATCGCAATAAACCATGACGTGTTGAGGAAAAAATTTTCTATGGGTTTCATCGGGGTCATATTGAATGTTGTTTGTCCCATCATTGAAACCTAGAAAACAATAAAATAAATGACTATTGTTCAGCGATTTGCTAAATTCCTGAGTGAAAAAAGTTTATAGTCATCTAGCATTATATGAGTTTAGAACTGTCTCAACTGACAAAAAAATGAACCTACCGTAATCGCGCCTTTCATAATTTCCACTCCAGACTGTTTGTGTCTTTGGTGGTCGCTTGAAGTACTAAAAAATATAAAATAGATCATAGTGAGAGAGAAATAAAGGAGACTTTTAGGTGCAAAGATTTATGCATTGCATTTTATTTGTTTGTTATAGATTTTAACTGTTTTATGTGGGGGTGGGACAAATGCTACCTTTTTTTGCGCACCTGGACATTTGCGCACCTTTTTTTGCTGGAAAAGGTCTTAGGCAAGGCCGTAGAGCCTCGAAAATATTTCTATTTAAGGGAATCGCATGCGTAGATTCCGAATTTCGACAAATCAGACCTCGCTGACACGTCAAATTTGGGCTAAAAGGCAAAAACTGCGGAAAAGCGTTAAGTTGCGTAGTTTTTGCCTTTTAGCCCAAATTTGACGTGTCAGCGAGGTCTGATTTGTCAATTCTAAATCTACGCATACGATTCTCTTCTATGAAAACATTTTTGAAGCTCTACGACCTTTCCTAAGGCCTTTTCCAGCAAAAAAAAAGGTGCGCAAATGTCAAGGTGCACAAAAAAAGGTCGCATTTGTCCCACCCCCGTTTTATGTTGAAAAATTCCTACATGAAACTCAAAAAACATTCAATTTAAAACCCTTTCTATAAACTTACCAAGCTCCGTTCCTGGGCCGACGACGGCGCTTTCTGCGGTGATGACGATGAAGTCCGTTCCTGCTCCGATTTCCCACCGGCAGCTTCTCTTTCCTCTTCGCTTCCACTTCTTCGCTGATTATGAGCTGAAAAAAATTGATAGAACCAAAATTAAGAAAAACGGCAATCGTTAATTTCGACA